ACTTAAAAGGGGACAGTGGCATTTTTCAAAGTGTTACTCAAGGACCAGCATCAGAACCACCTGGTAGGCATATTTACACACAGATTCCCAGATACTACAGAAACCAGCTAAATTGAAGTTGATGGGGCTCATTAATCTACATTTAACAAGCTTCTCAATAGATTCTCCCACTTTAGTTTTGAGGTTCCCTGAATAAGTTGTGTTCTCACAGCATCTGTACTCATACAGAGCTTCAATTCCCAATATTTAAATAGCTCCCAAATCTGAAGTGCATTACTCTTTTTTTTTTTTGGTTTGTTTTGTTTTGGGGCCACACCCAGCAGTGCTCAGGGCTTACTCCTGCTTCTGTGCTCAGGGTTCACTCCTGGTGGGCTTGGGCGACCATATGGGATGCTGGGGATTGAACCCAGGTTGGCTGGATGCAAAGCAAATGCCCTACCGCTGTACTAACACTTGAGCCCCTGAAGTGCATTACTTCATTTCAAAAGATGGGTCAAGAGTAGTCTTGTCCCATCTTGGCAGAGACAAAGTAAGGTTTTGGAGTCAAGAGACCTGAATTCAAATCTGGTTCTACTACTTGCTATCAAAGTGAGCTTGGACAAGTTACCTAATTTTCCCGGCCTCAGTTTCTTCATTGATAGCATATGGATAAGAAAAGTTACTTCAAAGCATGTTGTTACAATTAAACAGGAGTCAGACCAATGACAAGGGAAGCCTATCATTCTTTGGAAGACTTTCTGAGGCCTACATACCATTTATAACAAGATGAATAAAACATTGTCAGCCTCGGTGCAGCATACCACGGATACCAGAGAAGGAAAGGTTGTCATCTTATCAAGTTCTTTCATTTGTTTGTTTTTGTACTATCTCTTTGTGATTAAGGTATAAGTTTCCTAAGCTTCTCGAAACTTCATGCCATTTCCTACTAATAGACTCCCAAGAAATCTTGCATTTTCCCCTTGATCTGAAAACCCCTTGCCACCATACTTATGCCAGAATCTTCAGCCTCTAGCATGGTCTCAGCTAGAATCTTCTTTTCCAGTCTTATCTCTCACTAACCTCACCAAGTAAAGCATGCACTCATGGTTACGGTGCCCTTGATCAAGTTACTTAAACGATGTGCCTTTGGGCTGGAGCCACAGTGAGCGGCTGCCCCTACCCAGCACTACTTAGGGTCCCCCAAGGCCTGCCAGGAGCAACTCCTGAGTGCAGAGCTAGGAGCGATTCCAGAACACCGGGTATGACCCAAAAACAAAACAAAACTGACTCTACGCCTTAATTTCCTCATCCATGAAACAGAACCGCACACACTTCCTAGGGATTTTGTGAGTAGCACTCTGGAAGGGGAAGGGAATCTTTACTCCCCCGCGATATCCATCCTAGCAGCTGCTTCACTCCCTTTCCTGGAGCGCTCTAAGCTCCTAACTTGAGGATTCTCACCATGTGCCTCTAAGACAGTCTTGGCTTCTCTAGGGGCCAACTTCTGCTCATTCTTCAGGCTTAAATGTCATCCCTCTTAGACCGCTCCCCAAACTACCCCTTCCCCGCCACTTCCTATCAAAAGTAGACTAAGCACACCTCTTTTTTTTTTTTTTTTTTTTTTTGCTTTTTTTGGTCACACCAGCGATGCACAGGAGTTATTCCTGGCTCATGCACTCAAGGATTACCCCAGCTGTGCCCGGGGACCATATGGGATGCTGGGAATCGAACCGGGGTCTGCCACGTGCAAGGCAATCGCCCTACCCGCTGTGCTATTATTGCTCCAGCCCCTAAGCACCCCTCTCAAAGATGTATTTTTTCCTTTGATGCACTGATCCAGTGTTTATTTCATAGAAATATTGAATATATTTTACACTATGCCACATCTACCCTCGCAGCATGATTCTCAGTCCATAGCAGCACTCTGAAAATATTTTAAGTATTTGATGAATGATTTCTTAAAATTGACTACAACCTTAAGATTGGAGAGATAGCACAGTGGGCAGAGCATGCAGCTGCCCCTAGTTCAATTTCCAGCATCCCCTGTGGTTCCCCAAGAAGCTCCAGGAGTGATCCCTGGGCACAGAACCAAGAGTAAACTCTGAGCACCCCAGGTGTAGCACTAAACAAACAAAAAACCGACTGAACTCCGAGGACTGTATCAACCTCTGTCACTTTATGCCCAAGAGCGAAACTCTTTACTTCCTTGACCTTCTATGAAACAAAAAATAAGAGCAGATGTTTAGCTTTGGGTTAGCTGAGATACTAGAAAGGCAATGGCTAAACTCTAAGAGTTACTTTAAATCTACACTGTTCAGTAAGGTCTTACACACACACACACACACACACACACACACCAGTTATGGGGATAAGCACTTGAAACTTCTAGTACAAAATGAGATGTGTTCTGGGTGTAAAATAAACACTTGGAATTTTAAAAACTTGGTATAAATAATAATATTAAATATCTCATAAGCTTTTTCACGACCATCCTGTTATTCGTCGATTGCCTCGAGCAGGCCCCAGTAACGTCTCCTTCATCCTAGCCCTGAGATTATATTCAAGGCTCTTTAGGAGAATGAGACCCATCATTGTTACTGGTATTTGGCATATTGGGTACGCCACGGGGAGTTTGCCATAAGCTTTATGTTTATTACATATTGAAGTAACATTTTGGAAATGAGTTATTAAAATTAACCTCACCTGTTTCCTTTTATCTGGAAAAAAATCAACTTTATTCTTTATCTTGGCATGTGGGTCACATTTGGTGATCCTCAGGGTCCACTTTCATCTGTCTCAGTACCTAGAGGGTTGCTACTAGCGATCTTCAAGAGACCATAGGAACCTGGCGCTCAGGCATGCAAAGGTTATGCCCCAGCTCACTGAGTTACCTCCCGGGCCAAACAGATTGGTTTTTTGTTTTGTCTGGGGGCCACACGTGACAGCGCTCAGGGCTTACTCCTGGCTCTGTGCTCTGGGATCACTGCTGGTGGAGCTTGGAGGGATCACATGCAGTGTCGAGGATAGAACCCAGGTCGGCTGTGTTAATTGCCCTACCTGCTGTACTATCTCTCCAGCCACTTAGATAAAAATTTTAATGTGGCTACCAAAAATTTGATGTGGCCTTCCTCAGACTTCTACTTTCACTATCTTCTTAGAAGACATATAGTATTTCATATCGCTCCACTTCCTATTTTTTGCAGTGATAAGGGCTGGAGCGATAGCACAGCGGGGAGGGCGTTTGCCTTGCAAGCGGCCAACATGGCTGACCCGAGTTCGGTTCCTCCGGCCCTCTCGGAGAGCCCGGAAAGCTACGGAGAGTATCTCGCCCACACGGCAAAGCCTGGCAAGCTACCCGTGACATATTCGATATGCCCAACACAGTAACAATTGTCACAATGGAGACGTTATTGGGCCCGCTCTAGCAAATCGATGAACAACGGGAGGACAGTGACAGTGACAAGGACTGAGTTCAGGGTCTGGGACATGTGAGGCTCTACCACTAAATCACACCTCCCAGCCCCACTTCCTCTGTATCCATAAGGAGACATACTTCAAGTTCTTTCATGGTTTATCACAATACCGATGTCTGATATGGGTGATTTCCCCACTCATGTGGTGGAGTGAACATGTCTGATTCTTTGATACAAGGGACTAGTTTCCTACAACAGGAAACTAGAAACTGTTCATACCATTATGGTTAAGAACAGATCTGGAGTCCATATTCTCCTACTTACTACCTTGAACTTGGGTTAGTCTTTTTCTGTTAGGGGGCCACATTCGGCGGGGTGCAGGGCTGACTCTTGGCTCTGCACTAGGGAATCACTCCCAGCAGGGCAAAGGGGACCCTTCGTGGTGCCAACGGATCAAACCCAGATCCACAGAGTACAAGGCAAGCCCCCTACCTACCTGTCCTATCGCTCTGGACCCCTAAACTTGGTTCCTCTTAACTTCTCTGTGCCTGAGCTTTCACATCTGAAAATGGGGAAAGCTAACTGTGTCTACAGCAGAGAACGGGAGTGAACTGGCAAAGTGCTGAGAATGGTGCTTGGCTTGCAGGGAGCACTCACGGAGTAACGATTACTTGTGCCACACACACACACACACATCCTTGACCCTTTCCAGCCGTTCCATATGCCTCTCCTAATACTGGGCACTTCTCCTAGGTAGGGGTGGTCTTCCCAATTGGAAAGCGGCCACGCCCGGGTCTTCTATCTACACAGTCCTACCACTTCCCCAGCTGAGTGGTCCTCGGGTCAAGTATTCCGCCTCTCGCTTTCCAGTCTCGTCCTCTGTCCATCCGGGTGGATGTGCTGCCCTGCGGCCACAAGCTCCAACAGCGCCCGTTTGAACACGCAACGGTCAAGCTGCCTGCCTGGTTCCCGAGCACCTAGTGTGGTTTCCTGTGCGAATGCATTTTCTGGTTTAGTAGACGTGAGCCTCACGGCACCCCACTGTGCGATCGCTACTCGACAGCCAAGGAGCCGGGATCCGGGGACGAGTCCGGACTCGCCCAGAGCTGCAGAAACTGGCAGCGCCACTTTCTGCAGGACCCGGGCCTCAGGCCACCAAAGCGAGCTCCTCTCCCAAAGCATGGGCGCCAGAACGAATCCATTCTTGCTGCTGATGGCGCTCCGAAGGTTTGGAGAAGAGAGCAGAAACCAGACGAGTGGGTCCACTGGGGTGGGGTGGGGTGGGGGTGAAGGGTGAAGGGTGAGGGGTCAGGGGTGAGGGTCCACGTTTCAGACGCCAACAGGAAACCGAGCTGGGTTCTGCCAAGCCCGGTATCATGAGATCCGAGAGCCCGTCTGCAAACCAAACCAAAGCAAAGCAAAGGCCCTTGTTCTCTTCGAGCCCGGGGAGGGAGGGAGTGCGGGGCGGGGCGGGGCGGGGTGGGGGGTGGAGGGGGGGCGCGGGTTCAAGGGTCGGCAGCGCGGAGCTCGGAGCTGCCCCTGCCCAGGCTCCGCGGCCCGGCCGCCGGACCCTCCCCCTCGGATCTCGGGGCCCGGCGCCGCGCTCACCTCCGGCTCCGGGCGCTCCGAGGCCATCACACAGCCCTCCCGCGCCGGCCCGGGCCGGGGAAGATGCTCCGCTCGTGACCCCTGACCCGGCGGCCGCGCAGCCGGCCGGAAGCGGAAGTGCGTGGGCGGGCCGGCTTCTGCGCTGCTGATTGGTGCGCAAAGCTCCCTCCGCCGGCGTCCGGGACGGGGGAACCGGAAGAGGAAGTCGCCGCCGCCGCCGCCGCCGCCGCCATGCAGGTAAGGGCCAGTGGCCTGGGCTTAGTGGACCACGAGCGAGCGAGCGAGCGTGGGCTGGCCGGACCGGGCGTGGGCTGGCCGCGGGAAGAGTGAGGAGTTGGGCCCGGGAGGAGCGGGCGGAGGTCTGGGCGGACGGAGAGAGAAACGTGGGGTGCGAGCGGGGCTCGCGGCAGCCTCAGCGGCGCGGGGGATGGTGGGGGGGGGGGGGCTGGAGCCCGGCGGGTGCGGCCCGTCTGGGGGGAGGCTCCGGAGGGCAGCCCCGACCCCCGGCCGTCGTGGGGGAGGGCTGGCCGGAGGCCGGCCAGCGGAGGTGGCCCAGGAGCGCGACGGGCTGGCCCCGCCCTCGGCTCGTGGAACTGTGCACGGAGCGAAGTTTGGAAAGGGCCGTGGCAGCCGAAAGAAAGTTGGACTCGTCGTCCTAACCCGAGGCTGAGGGTGCCACCCCGGAGCTCGGACCCCGTCCCCGTCTACGTTGGCAAGATGGTTTTGTTTGCATCCTCTGCTTCCCCAGGGCGGGCGTGCGTGCGTGCGTGCGTGCCCTGGGGTGGTTAAGGAACGGTGACGTGAATGCAAACAGAGCTGGGGAGGAACTGTGTCCCGCGCCTAAAATTGTCTGGTTCCTCGCGGAGCATTTGTTCGTTTGCTTTGCGGTTCACTCGGTCCCTTAGTTTTCTCGCGCGGAGCCATCTGTCAAGTGCTTTGTAAGGAAGGAGGACCGGGTTTATGGACAGGACCCAGGAATATTGGAGCAGGGATAAAATTTGAGTGCAAGTGATGGGGGTCCCCAACGGGGCTGCCGAGCATGCTTCGCAGTTGAATTTCCGGCACTTGTGTGTAGACCCCAAGTTCTTGAGTCCCCCGCCTGCAGTGGGCTCAGAGTGTCCCCTGGACACCACCAGAAGTAAAGACTGCAAATAAATTTAAGCAAGAAGTCCATGGAAACAGCAAACGGAGAGTTGGGAGCTGGTCCAGCAGGCGGTAGTGCTGCAAGGCTATTAGTGTTCATCGAAAACTTCCTCTGCAGGTAGATTTCCTACAGGTGTGCTACGGACAAGAACAACCTGCAACTCGTCAGGCAGAGGACAAGTTGGCGTGTGCTGCTGCTACTGCTGGGGCACAGAAACGAAATCAGCCTCGAAAGTTAGGTCTGGGGAAAATTTCATCATGAGTGGGAATAGAGTAGACCTAATCCAGGTGGAAACCAGGTGCGGATTAGGAGGGGATGAGAGAGAGGCGAACAGAGGTAGGAGAAATTGAGGTCAGGTGAGCACGTTGAAATCTGAAGCCGTCTCTAACCCACATATCAAAGAGAGTCAACAGCCAGGCTCTCCCAGGCCAGTGAAATCCCATGTCCCCGGACTCTGGTTGCGCCCTATCTCTGGGTTCTCAGCCTTGCTCTGCGTGTGTCATGTGCACACCCAGCTGGCTAACCAACTTGTCCTATTGGTGCAGAGGGAAGAGAAGCAGCTTGAGGCGTCCTTAGATGCGCTGCTGAGTCAAGTGGGTGATCTGAAGAATTCGCTGGGGAGTTTCATTTATAAGCTGGAGAACGAGTATGACCGGCTGTCCTGGTAAGGGTTCCCGATGTGAGCCAAGGAGGGCTCTTTGGGTGGCGGGGGGGTGGAACCAGGCCTCCGAGTGGTTAGGACTTCTCAAGTGATGGAATTAGTGATCAGTTTGTCAACATCTGATTTGGAAAGAGCTGGGTTTCTCAATATTTGACAGACAAAGTTTGGCTTAGGACTTGAGCGGCAAGGAAGTAGAGGATGGCCTCGTGTCCCAATCTGGGTTATTTCAAGCTTTTGATTTTCACCCTTTGACTTTTTTAGGAGCAGGTCCTCCCACTGAATAGTTGTCTTACTGGATATCTGGCTGCTGATACTGTTGAGTTTTTTTGGATCCGGCCTACTTTGAAAATATCAATTATACTTCCCAGATGAAGAAGTGGCTTTCATCTAGTTTCTGGTTATTTGGTGATAAAAGAGTAGCCACGGTTCCAATTTTGCCACCGTTTCTCACTCTGCTCCTCCTCATTTCTGTGGCTTGTGAATCTGAAATCTGTGGAAACAACGTGTTTTCCTGTTTCTTGGCCCCGCAGTTCCATGAGCTAGTCTGATTCCTGTCCAAGCCAACGATAGACCAATAGACTCATGAGGGTTCCCCCTCCCGGGGGGGTAGGGAATAAATAATATTCCTAGTTTGAAACCTCTTTGAGGACTGGCACGGTAGTACAGCAGGTAGGGTGCTTGCCTAGCATGCAGCAGATACAGGTTCCATCCCTGCATCCTCTATGGTCCCCTGATTTCCATCAGGACTAACACCCTGAGCACAGAGCCAGGAGTAAACCCTGAGTACTGCCGGGTATGGCCTCCAAACAGAAAACAAACAAAATGCTACCCCTTTCAGCCTGATGTAACAGGAATGTTCTGATGCTTTCACGTCACCACCAGGCCCTCTGTCCTCGATAGTTTCGCCTTGCTCTCTGGACAGTTGAACACTTTGAACAAGGTCTTGAAGCATGAAAAGACACCACTGTTCCGTAACCAGGTCATCATCCCTCTGGTGTTGTCCCCGGACCGAGATGAAGATCTCATGGTAAGAAGAAAAGGGTTCAATTTGGGAGATCCAATTCTTAGATGAGACCCTAGACCACAGTAGTTGGTTTTCTTCTTCTTCATCTTCTTCTTCTTTTTTTTTTTTTTTTTTTGTTAATTTTATTGAATCACCGTGAGAAAGTTACAAGCTTTCATGTTTGGGTTACAATCACATAATCATCAAACACCCATCCCTCCACCAGTGCACATTCCCCACCACCAATATCCCCAGTATACCCCCCCCCCCACACCTCCATAGCAGACATGATTCCCCATACTTTCTCTCTCTACTTTGGGGCATTATGGTTTGCAATAGACACTGACGGTCATCATGTTTGGTCCATTGTCTACTTTCGGCACACATCTCCCCTCCTGGCTGATTCCTCCAGCCATCATTTTCTTAGTGATCCCTTCTCCGTTCCATCTGCCTTCTCCCCTCTGCTCATGAGGCCGGCTTCCAGCTATAGGGCAATCCTCCTGGCCCTTGTATCTACTGCCCTTGGGTGTCAGCCTCATGTTATGTTATTCCATACTCCACAAATGAGTGCAATTCTTCTATGTCTGTCCCGCTCTTTCTGACTCATTTCACTTAGCATGATACTCTCCATGTCTATCCACTTACAAACAAATTTCATGACATCGTCTTTGCTAACAGCTACATAGTATTCCATTGTGTAGATGTACCAAAGTTTTTTTAACCAGTCATCTGTTCTAGGGCACTTGGGTTGTTTCCAGGTTTTGGCTATTGTGAACAGTGCTGCAATGAACATATAGGTACAGATGTCATTTCTACTGTGCTTTTTTGCATCCTCGGGATATATTACCAGAAGTGGTATTGCAGAGTCATATGGAAGCTCAATTTCTAGTTTTTGAAGGACTGTCCATATTGTTTTCCAGAAAGGCTAGACTAGTGGGCATTCCACCAACAGTGAAAGAGTGTCCCTTTTCCCCCACATCCACGCAAGCACCAGAAGCTTTTGTTCTTCTGAATGTGTGCCAGTCTCTGTGGTGTGAGATGATATCTCGTTGTTGTTTTGATTTGCATCTCCCTAGCATGTGGAGCTATCAATGCGGAGCAGTTTTTCATGTGCCTTTTGGCCATTGGTATTTCTTTTTTTTTTTTTTAATGTAGAAGTACTGATATTTATTCAGCCACTGATTAGCTGATTGAATTGTGCATGAACTCCACCTTACTTTTTTTTTCTTTTCTTTTTTTTCTTTTTGGGGCACACCTAGCGATGCATAGGGACCACTCCTGGCTCTGCACTCAGGAGTCATTCCTGACGGTGCTCAGGGGACCATATGGGATGCTGGGAATCGAACCCGGGTCGACCTCTTGCAAGGCAAACGCTCTACCTGCTGTGCTATCTCTCCAGCCCCTTTTTTTCATTTTTTATAATTTTATTTATTGAATCACCGTGAGAGCATTTACAAAGCTTTCGGGTCTAAGTCTTGGTCATACAATGAAACACCCGTACCTTCACCAGTGCCCATTCTCCACCCCTCAAAACCCCAGTATACCCCCATCCCACACCTGCCCCTACCTGTAGGGCAGATGATTTCCACATTACTCTCTCTCTACTTTGATCACATTCGATATTTCGACACCAGACTCACCATTATTATTTGAGATTTTACCCCAACACTCAGATCTGCTGAAAAGGCAACAGTAGACAATTTGTGTTCTATTGCTGGTTATGAATAACATATGGTGTCGCGTGGATGCAGTAGGGCCACGTGATTTTGAAATTCCGAAATTTTAACACTTAAATCTGGAGGGATTTCTGCCAAACCACTGGGTTTCGAGATTTGCTCCTGAGTCTCTGGGATTATGGCCATTGAGCAGCTTGATCAGGAGCCAGAGAGGCCGTTCGTGGGCGATGACTTGGGGTCTTGTTGGGACGGGGAGACCAGGACCGGCTCCACCCCCATCCTGTGAGGCCCAACAAGTTTCGTCACTGCGGGCCCAGACTTGACTGTCCAATGGCCTCTGGAGGATGACGGCCACCAAGCCGCCAAGGGGGAGCAGGCGGAGGGACAATACCCTTTCCCCCCTGTGGTGGCCCGGTGACAGTAACCTACTGTGGGGTCCGGACACATTTCTGCCAAAAGCTGCTGGGTTTTGTGATTTGTTTCTGAGTCTCTGGGATCATGGCCATTAAGCAGCTTGATCAGGAGCCAGAGAGGCCGTTTGTGGGCGATGACTTGGGGTCTTGTTGGGCTGGGGAGGACAGGCCTGGTTCCACCCCCTGTATTTCTTTTTTTGAGGAAACTTCTGTTCATTTCTGCTCCCCATTTTATGATGGGGTTGGGTTTTTTTTTTTTCTTGTACAATTCTACTAGTGTCTTGTATATCCTAGATATTAATCCCTTATCAGATGAATATTGGGTAAATATTCTTTTCCATTCTGTGGGCTTTTTCTGTATTTTGGTCACTGTTTCTTTTGAAGTGCAGAAGCTTCTTAGTTTGATGTACCTTCCCCAACTTCAAACTCTACTACAAAGCAGTAGTAATTAAAACAGCATGGTATTGGGCTAGAAACAGACCTGCAGACAAGGGAACAGAGTTGAATATTCTGTCACAGACCCCCAAATATATGACCACTTAATCTTTGACAAAGGAATCTTTGAAGTGGAACAAGGAAACCTTTCAACAAGTGGTGCTGGGAAAACTGGATAGCTACCTGCAAAAAAAAATGAACTATGACTTCTGTCTAATGCCAGGCACAAAAGTCAGATCAAAAGTGGATTAAAGATCTCAGTATCAGACATGAATCCATAAGGTACACAGAGGAAGATGTAGGCAGAACTCTCCATGACATTGATGCTATAAAAGCATCTTTATGGATGAAACAACACTGGCCATGCAGGTGGAAACAAACATAGACAATTGGGATTACGTGAAACTAAGTAGCTGGTTTTCTAGGCGTTCTGAGTGGAGAGCGATGTGTGGCAGTAAGAAGGGAGGATTGTGGTTTAGAGGCCTTGATTTTTGCCCTTCTGCAGTCGGGGAAGCACTCTCACATAGTGCCTAGTCAACCTGAGGCCTGTGTCACCAACGAAAAGGCCCTCCTCTTTTCAGTATCGGTCACAAAGGAGAAGCATGTTCTCGTGTAACTTGACCTCTGAGCCTTTCACTAAAAACTGACTGATATGCCCCTAAATCTGGTCAAATGTGAGGAAAGAAGTGCAGGGTAGTGTGAAGGGGGTAATGTCCTAGAAAGCTATGATATAATAAAGATATGCCCCAGGCATTTATATCAGCCCCAATAGAATCTACGTGGGACCAAATACTCATAGTTTCAATAAAATCTGTGTGTCAACAGCGGCAGACTGAAGGACGAGTACCTGTTTTCAGCCATGAGGTTGTCCCAGATCATCTGAGAACCAAGCCTGACCCTGAGGTCGAAGAACAAGAGAAGCAACTGACGGCAGATGCTGCCCGTATCGGTGCTGATGCCGCCCAGGTTGGACTGAGTTCTGGGCCCGCTGCCTTCCCTGCATGCCCTGGCTTCTGAACCCTGTTGGAGATGCTAGACATTAGTAGCTTCCCAATTGGTAGGGATGCACCGTTGGGTTGCATCTCAGTGGTCCATGCAAGTCACTTCTTCGTAATCATTTCTTGCTCACACTAGTCTCTGCATAAATTCATGTGTTGCAGAAGCAGATCCAGAGCTTGAATAAAATGTGCTCAAACCTTCTGGAGAAAATAAGCAAAGAGGAACGAGAATCAGAGAGTGGAGGTACGAGGGGATTGGTGGTCTGTGGAAATGAAAGAAGGGATGAGTTCATGGAAATAGGACTGGTGGTCTTGGCGAGGCAGAGATGTGTGAGCTGGCAAAGACCGGCTGTGCATCCAGTCTGGGTTAGCCTTTTGGATTTAAGGCCAGTCCTGAAGAGCAGATGGCAGAAAGGGGAAGAATGGAGAGGGAGAAGTGTGCGCTGCTTGCGAAGTGCCTTGGGTCAAAGCTTGCAGGAAATCTGCATGTCGCTCGTGTCAGAACTCCAAACCTTGGTATTCAGACTGGGCCATAGGCAGGCTTCAAGAGCCCCACATACCTTTTTCTTCAGGTCTCCGGCCGAACAAGCAGACGTTTAACCCAGCGGACACCAATGCCTTGGTGGCAGCTGTCGCCTTTGGGAAAGGGCTGTCTAACTGGAGACCTTCAGGCAGCAGTGGCCCTGGCCAGCCAGGCCAGCAGGGAGCTGGAACAATCCTTGCAGGAGCCTCAGGACTGCAGCAGGTGCAGATGGCAGGAGCGCCGAGCCAGCAGCAACCCATGCTCAGTGGCGTGCAAATGGCCCAGGCTGGTCAGCCAGGTAAGGGGCAAAGGGGGGGACATGGGAGCAGATCTTGAGCAGCGGAGGAGGACTAAGCCAGATTCCCCTCTCCAGAGCAGTCTGAGTGGCTCCGCACTCAGAAATTACTCCTGGAGGTTTGAGAACATTTCTGATCTATCATGAAAGTTACTGTGATTCAGATGTCCTTCCTGTTCTTTTTAGGGAAAATGCCAAGTGGAATAAAAACCAATATCACGTCGGCTTTTCTCCCCAGTGACCTGTGACCCAGGAAGCTATTTTTTCAAGAGTAAAAAATCTCATTTAAGAATCTGTAACAGGGACTGGAGCGATAGCACAGTGGGTAGGGGTTTGCCTTGCACACGGCCGACCCAAGTTCGATCCCCAGCATCCCATATGGTTCCCCCGACTACCGCCAGGAGTAATTCCTGAGTGCATGAGCCAGGAGTAACCCCTGAGCATCGCCGGGTGTGACCCAAAAAAGAAAAAAAAGAATCTGTAACAGACTCCCAGAGTGAGTCTGTTCTGACTTTCCAATCCTATCTCAGACCTCTGTCTCAGCTTTCTCTCTTTCATCTAACGTTGTATATTACGTGATTGTCAGTATCTTTTCTTAGGTTGAGAAACCAGGGACATCTTAGTTAAATATACCATTTGGTATGTGCATTGGGCATTGACAAGGCAGCAAGTTCCAGAGCTGTGTCTTCTTTTTTCCCCTCTATCCTATCCCATTTGAGTAATTAGAATAGGCTGGAGGAGTTCAGGTATAAGCAGCTAGAAGAAGCATTTTCTTCTGAACCACCCTAGAAAAGACACAATGGAGAGAATTCAGTGTTCTTTTGTTTTTGACATGAAATGGAAGTCACAAAAGTTGAACTTAATTTTCCAGAAATGAGTGCCCTGGAGACTGAGGAGGATGTTTTGACTCTTTTGCAGTCCCCATGTTACCCATAATAGTCTCTTCGTACTCCTCGCCGCCTGTCTTCCTAAATACCATTAGGAGGAGAGGCAGGTGAGGCATTACACCTCTGATCTCTGCCTCCCAGAGTTACGCGCCAGAGATCCTGATAGAGATAGAGAACCTGGCAGAAGGAGCCTGCAAGAGGTTTTGTTTTTTTGCTTTTGGGGTCACACCTGGCGACGTGCTGGGGTTCATTCCTGGCTCCGCACTCAGAAGTTTCTCCTGATGGCGGGAGAACACATTTCTGATCTGTCATGAGAGTTACTGTGATTCAGATGTCCTTCCTGTTCTTTTTAGGGAAAATGCCAAGTGGAATAAAAACCAATATCAAGTCGGCTTCCATGCATCCCTACCAGCGGTGACTGTGGCCAGCAACCTCCACTCCCAGAGCTGTTTGCAGAGCTGGGTGGAGAAATTGTTTTTTGCCAAGCTAAACCTAAGTGAGCACAGAAGAGGGAAGCTTTCAGCAATGGCTTTCAGCAACGGACAGATTTCATCCTTACTGCTGACGAGGTGTGTGATCTTGGGCAAACAACCTAGTTTTCCTTAGGCTGTTTTCTTCCTCGTAATTGATAACAGTACCTACCTCATAGGGTTGTTGTGAGGATTAAAATAAGAAAATGTGAAACACTTAGCAAAGTACATGAAATACTGGGTACTCAATAAATAATGGTCACTTTTCCCCCACTGCTCTTCTTAATCCTCAATCCGGAATTCAGTCTAAGCTGGTACAGTTTCACTTCAATGGTGGACCACTGGAAATAAGACCACGGGCCACTCAGCTTTTTTTAAAAGCGTGGCAGCCCGTGAGACCTTAGAAACACACTGTCTCGCAAGCCTGCCTGCCTGGCCGAGTTTCTCACCATCTCACCAGGCTGCAGGTGACAGACAAACAAGGCTGCGGGTACAGCTCCCTGCATCTCTGAGGAAGCTCGGGCCTGCTCTGCTCTCCACCTTTGAGAAGCCAGTCCAGCTCTCCCCTAGGAAGTGGTCACAGCGTCCCTCGTCTTGTGCGCTGCCCTGCATATAGGCAGCATGTTGTCAGAGGACTGGCTGGCGAGGGCTTCCTTGGGAAGTGAGGCAGGACTGTGAGATAGGTTTTACGTATCAAATGGAAAAACGGCCCCTTTCTAGAAACCGGAGAGGGAGTACACTTATTACATGCACCCAATCCGGATCTGATCTCTGGCACCTCAAGCCTGCAAGCAGTGATCCCTGAGTGCAGAGCCAAGAGGAATTCCTGGGCTCCCTTCTTCTAGGACTCATTTCTCTTATCATCTTTTATCAGGGAATAGTGTCCCATCAGTCCCTCCCTTCTGGCCTTCGTTGGATTTCCTCGTTCGATGAACCAGAAACTGAAGGAGCCGGATGGATGAGGGGCGAGGCAGCCCTTGGTTTTCCTCATGCTTTAGAAAGAGGCGGGGCTGCTGTCTGTCTTAGCTCTCCTTTGGGCAAAGGCAAGAAAAGAGAGTGGGTTAAAGAGTCTGTCTGGGGGCCAAAGAGACAGTGCTGGGGTTAAGGCATTTGCCTTCAGTGTTGGTGACCCTGGTGCCACATGACCCACCAGGTGTCACTGGGTAATCCCTGGTACCACAGGCCCCAAGCGGCACTCTCCTCAGCCCCTCCAATTGAACCGTGGGCCTGGCTGACTGAGAATCACCACGAGGGTTCCTAAGCCTGCTGATGGATGACTGGTTGCGACCCCCTCTTCCCTGGAAAATAGGAACAAAGGGTTTCTCTAAATAAAGTTTTCTGACTAGGTGGGTACTGTGTCGGGCGTATCTAACTGACCTATGAGGTGTTGAGGTGTTAGACAGTATCACAGTCAAGGACTTCAAGGTGCTCCAAGGTGATTCTAGTCTGTGCCCCTTGAAAAGTTTCTTTAGCTTTGATTGGCTTTGATCTAAAGTCCTAAGAGGTGAGAGGGCCTGCCCAGAGCTTCCAGCGGCCTTTTCTGTTTCTTCTTCTCCCATTAGTACTTTGACATTGGTTCAGTGCCAGGCAGCATTCTGCCAGGCTGTGGCAGCAAAGGACTGAAAACCCAGTCCCGGGGTCACAGTCCTTTCTGTTCCATCAGGACAAGAAAATGGTCTCAACCTGAGAGCTCACGCTCGCGAGCTTTGAAAGCACTGGGACCTGTTACCCCTCTGAGGCAATGCCTCGCCTTTCCCTCACTGCTGCAGGGCTGCCTCACCAGCCCGTCAGCCCACTCAGGTGCTTCTCGGCTCCCCCCTCTTCCCTCCCCACTGAAACCAAAGCTAACCGGTACCGTCCAGATATTTCAGCTGTGCCGAAAACTACACCGGAGGATCTGCCCTGGTTGCGCTGCAGGTTCTGAAAGGCTGCTCAGTGTCTGGTTCCAGCCTTGGGTCCTCTGGCCCCAAGCTCATGTCGATTTCGTCCCCACTATTCCTTTTTTGTTTTGCTTTTTGCGTCACACCCGGCAATGCACAGGGGTTACTCCTGGCTCTGCACTCAGGAATTATCCCTGGCGGTGCTCAGGGGACCATATGGGATGCTGGGGATCGAACCCGGGTCGACTGCGTGCAAGGCAAACGCCCTACCCGCTGTGCTATGGCTCCAGCCCCTCATCCCCACTATTCTATGTGAAGTAGAGTCCTCAACCAAGAGGGGAGAGGCAAACAGACAGCCTTGCCTATGTATGTCTTGTGCCTCTCAGGAAACCGTCCTTATTCTCTCTCTTCTAAATTAGTTTGGTTTCACACCCAGCAGTGCTCAGGCGTTACTCCTGACTCTGTGCTCATGGATCCCTCTTGGTGGCGTCGGGACCATGTGGCATGCTCCCATTGAATCTGGGTCAGCCATGTGCAAGGCAAGCACCCTCCCCATGGTACTATCTCTCTGGCTCCTAATTGTTACTCTCAAGCCGCTCCATGTTCATCATTCTGGGGCCACGTGTTCTCATTTTGAGGCCCCTACCCTCATATCCTCCAGCGTATATAAACCGCTAGCTTGGGAGCCCATAAAACCCAATAAATGGCTTTCGTGAACACCTCTGCCACCCCGTCACACTTGATCCTCTTGGGAGGGAACCTGTACACAGTATCCCCCGAAGAAAGCACGACCTGCTTACTCGCTCGGAGGATTTGCAAAAGATGGCCCTCTCGTTCCACTCTAGCAGGCAGTTTCTCACTGCCGCATTTGATTTGCGGACTATGCTTTCTTCTGTTCTGGGCCTTTGGAGGATTATATCGGGGTCTTTTCCTCCCAGGTCTGTGTCTCGGAGGGAGACAGGAGCAGCAGGAAGCAACCTTGAGGTCTTGGTACAAGCACAGAGTTCGTCCTGCCACAGTTGGAAGCTGGCGGAATTGATGTCAGTGTCACATCCTTCGCTAGGACCTCTCCCTCTGAGCTCTGCCCCGAAGCAGGGATCCGGCCACTGCTGTACCTCCCCTTTACTCACTGGCCCAGTCACCCCATTCTTTTCCTCCTCTGGTGTCTTTAATTGCCTTACCTAGCTGGCTTACTTAACCTTATACTTCTTTGGGAAGCAGCCAAGACAGATAAGATAGAGCTAAGTGCTTCTTCCTTCTTGCTCCGTGCTGGGCCCTGGCATGATGTCTGAGCTGGTGGGGGTGTGTTGCCGCCTCCCGTCCTGCTGCTGAAGGGAAGAAGCGGAACGCTGCAGGAATGCCCCAGTGCTTGGCTGGTCCCTTTCCCACCCCCTCCTCACGTCCCCCAGGCAGCTGGAAACAACCTCTCCCTTTGTCTGAGCTTCTTGTACAGAATAATCCTCCTTATGGACAATGTCTTCTCTGTGCCCCGTGGACACAGGAGCCGTGTGAGTGGATCCCAGCACCAGGCAGGACGGAGGCTGAATCCTTCCCAACGCCCACCCTGAGTCAACTCCTGATTATGGTCCAGAGAAACTGAGGGTTGTACGTTTTCTTCCATCTGCTCCAGGTTTTGGGTGGGGGATGGTGTTAGGGAGAGCCTACCAGTATTTACTGATTGGCCAGAAAGAGGGCAGGGGGCTACTATCCCTCTTCACCATACCGACCTATGGAGGCTCTGTTTGATACTGACCTGACAGCCTCGAAACATGGGGTTTTGGAAGAGATTTATACCCTTCGGGTGGGGTTTGTAACTGCTAAGGCGGCAAGCTCACCAGTGTAGCCAACAGCGACCTAGCTTCCTGTCACTTAACTGGTTCTGTCCCACAGGGCAGACTCTTTTCCCGTTAACCCGTTAACTTCTTCCTTGTTTCTTCTTTTATTTATTTAGTTAGTAGTTTTTGGGTGACACCTGGTGTTGCACAGGGGTTCCTCCTGGCTCATGCACTCAGGAATTACTCCTGGCGGTGCTCGGGGGACCATGTGGGATGCTGGGAATCGAACCTGGGTCAGCTGCGTGCAAGGCAAACGCCCTACCCACTGTGCTATCTCTCCAGCCCCCCCTTGTTTCTTCTTGAGTTCCTGTCAGTCACTGTGGCAGAACCGTGATCTCTTTTGTGTTCTCAGGTATCACCTACCCGGGGCAGCTTGCCCAGGTGCCTCACGAACCAGGGACCTAACTTCTGTGGGCTTGCCTTTCCTCCTTTGGGTGATCTCACTGATTCTCCCTCATTCTGAAATCTCTACTAATGATTCCGAAGCCTATTTGTCGCATTCATTTTATTTCGTTTTCCTTACACGACTATTCTATATAAAATAAGACTTTTGTTTGCCTAAATCAGTCTCCAGAAGTCCTTGAACTCCGACAGATGATCCCCAAAGTTCCTCCCCTGTCCCCTGCAGGGGAGCATAGCGACATCTCTGTACGTCACTTGACCCAAGTCTTCTAGCTCTCACTGGTTCTCCGGTGAAAACTCATCACAGCGGAGCTGAGTTGCCTCTGAGAGTCAGGTGGAGTTGCCCAGTGTCAAGCTGCTTGAGTGCATCTAGGAAGTCACGTTCCCACTTGCTCCCCAGGACCGTGGAGGCAGCCGAAATGCTTTCCCTATGTGGCAACCACCTCCCCTCCTAAACCATCGTCATAGGGCTTCCCTGTCCTGTACTCCCACTGCCCGCCTTTGTTGCCACTCTGATCTCTCTGGTAGACATTTTGATTCTTTATCTCATCTGGTCCATTCCCCAACAGTGGATCATCCTTTGTTTTTTGCACTGGTTTCTCAAGTTGCACCCATTTTCCTGGTCCTGATGCGGGTCCTTTTCAAATCTGTTCCATGATGATTCCCCTTCCCACCATGCCCCCAACTCCTTCACAGCCACACTCTGAAAAGACGGCAGATGTGTCTCTCCTGCCATTCCCCCTGTTCACCTCCCTTTCCTTTTTCGATTGGACTTTTCCACCATTCCTGTGGAACTACTCTCTGAAAGGTCACTGTTGGCCTACAAGCTAAATAGATTCCTTTTTCACTGCTCTCACTTGAACCCTGTAGCGGTGTAGTATTGCTGAACATTTCCTTTTCATACCCTTCTTGTCTTTATTCCCTTTTTTTGGGGGGTGGGGGGGGTAGGGAAGCGTTGGGCCAGACCTGGTCCCTCTGATCTTCTTTTGCAATGTCATTATTCTCCAGGTCTTTGTCCTTAGCCTCTTCTACTTTCTATGACCACCACTTTTTTTCTTAATTCTTTTGTTTTGTAAAGCAGTTCACAATATTTGATTACATTTAATATTCAAACACCAACCCCACCACCATTACACCCACCACCATATTTCGGATGTTTCCATCCCAGACCCCAATTCCCTGCCCCA